CGTGCTCTAAACTTTGCTACAACCGGAACTTGTTCAATCATAGCCATTAATTAACAACAAATTAACCTCCAAAGTGTGACTGAATTAACAACCTTGGCGTTTTCCTTCCACGTTTCAGGAACGGTTATCGTAGATAAAGACGAGACTAGTGAAGAAATACCCAACATCATGTCCTCCAAGCATTTGGCCAAAGGTAACTGTTTTTAATAGCAAAAAGTTGACGATTTTCTAACGAAAATTCCAGGGTCAGTAGAACCCGCTAGAAAGGAAGGGCTCCTGCGCCTCTATTCCATGCAGTTTTGCCCATACGCTCAGAGATCCAGGCTGGTGCTGAGAGCCAAGGGGATTCCGCATGATATAGTCAATATCAATCTCATCCAGAAGCCGGAATGGTATTTTAAAATACACCCAGAAGGTGCACAGTTTGCATTAAAATTACCGATAATCCTGACCAATCGGTTATATTTCAGGAAAAGTGCCGGCGCTGCTCGATGGAGACAAGGTGATAGTTGAAAGCCTGGACATTGGCGACTATCTGGACGAAAAATACCCGCAGACCCCCTTGTATCCAGCCGAGCCAGCATTGAAAGCCAAAGACAAAGAAATTATCCAGAAAATCGGCCCAGCCACCACAGTATTTTCAAAATGCCTTTTCGGCAGCGAGGAAAGGTCAGCAGAGGAATGGGTCAAGGCTCTTATTGAGGCGTTGCAGCCTTTGGAGGACGAATTGGCCACCCGAGGAACCACAGTGTTTGGAGGCGATAAACCAAACATGGTATTAACAGTATTGTTCAACTGAACGCTAGTTAAATTTAATTTTTTTAGATTGATTACGCGCTGTGGCCATGGGGTGAACGAGCGGGCGCCATCGCCATCAAATTAGGGGCGAAACTGTCTCTAGGAGATGGGCAAATCCCTTTGTTGCGCAAATGGAGAAAGGCGATGCGTGAAGACCCAGTGGCTGCCGAGTTGTATCATGGTCCAGAAGTGTTTTGGAAAGTTGCCCAATTCAAGCTGAAGAATGTTGAGCCTGATTATGATTCAGTTTTGACTTCATAGAGGAACTACGTGAGCTGATTTTTTCTAGTTCTACCAGCTAAAAATCTTCGCTGCTAAGGCTTTAAATACATTATTCTTAAATGCTTAGGCCACGAATCAAACCCGGTGTTCACTTAGGCGATAGTAATTCTTAAGCATAATGGAAAAGTGCACCCGAGCTCGCCAGTTACCCAATAAAAGCTTTGAAGAAGCCAGATTTTAATTAATCTGTCTTCCAAAGTTTCCAGTTTGAGTTTTGGTACTTCTTGAATTAAATTTTCATTTTTCAAATTAGAAAACTCACCATCACCATCACTTCATTTGAGAGCAAGTTCTTGTATTTCTGGCTTCAAAGGCAGATAGTAAAGACCAATTCGTCCGACGCCTTCCTCTGGATCATTAGATGAGTTGTAATGCAGCCAATCATTAACAATCTTTTGCTGCCTAATCTAGACATTCTCGTTTTATATCACTCGAACCCTAAAAGCAAATAAACTTTAGTCAGACACTGAATGACGAGCTAAAGCAGAAAAAAGGTAATTTTCACCGATACTTGCCTTTAAATGGCAAAAACTTCTTCACTCCCGATTCCAGATTCCTAACTTGGCAGTTTTAATGTCTTTGAAGCTGCTCAAACCAGTGCAAATAACAAATAAGCATCTAAAAAATACGGTAAAAAACCCTAATTGTTCCTTAAAGTGAAACCCAATTAATGAGCGTAACCAGTAGTAAAAACCCTGTTTCCACTAACCTTAACTTGACCAAAGGGGAATGAGGATTAGAAAAAAGTCTGCATAGAATAAACCACTTTAATCAACAAGAACTCCCTTAACTAGCCGTGACTGGGACCACAGTGCATTTGATGCCTAAACTCGCTAGTTTCTTAACTTTCGACTCAAACTTCTTCACGCTTGCCTTCGTTTTCTTTAGCGCGGTTTCTTCATCCAACTGTTTGTTCCGCGAGAATTTCTGTTTCCCGCGTCGCGTTCGAACGGATGTGTATTCCTTAGTGCTGCTTTTACCATGGAAGAGTCCCTTGGGGCGCTTCTCATAGGGCACATACTCGGCTAAACCAATCAAGCCCTTACTATCAGCAGGTCGCGTTACGTTTTAATACTTACTGACTATTCGTTTCTTGAACATTAGGTAGTTGTTCATGGTATCAGCGGCGATTTGGGCCACTTCAGCGTCTTTGAACTCGATGTATCCAAAGCCTTTGCTGTTGCCAGTGATTCGCGATCGGCACACCTTCACGTTGGTCACTTTGCCAAATTGCTTGAAATATTTCTTCATCTCCTCCTCGTAGAAACCATGGGGAATGTGTCCGATATACACCAGTCCTCTTTGCTCTTCAGCTTTCTGCTGGAGTATTTTGCGACTCTCCTTAATCGTTATGGTACCAGCCTGTAATAACACATGATTGCATTGCATTTAAACCACTTAAGCCACCTTTTAAGGGCTCCTTTGTCACTCACCTTGAGCTGCTTCTTGATGGAAACAGTTTGTTTGGAAACTTTCTTCTGAGCGTTTAGGTCTAAAGCTATAGTTTCGGGTAATTTCTGCTCGTCCTGAGGCTGAGCAATATCTGCATCTGAAGTTGCTCGAGACTGAAAGAAGTAATCATTGCAAATCTACGTTTCAAATTGTATTTGAAGATGTTTCTTCACCTGCTTATTCTTTGCCCCAGTTTTTGTTGCTTTCTTCGGTATAGGCGACGTAGTTGATTTTGTTTTCTTCATATTGAATTGGCTCCCAAAACAAAACCAACACGTGTATTAGCGGGTCAACGAAAATTGGAAAACAATCAATTCTTTGGGGTTATGAATTGATGGCTTGACAGATCACAGAGGTTCACCACAGAACACTTCTGAACTGAGGATCACTCTGTGATCTGTGGATTGCAAGTAATGTCACAGTCCGATCACCCATAAAACAGTTCGTTTGCAGCAACCGAAATTTTTTAAATCTGCTTTTGTGGATTTCGATAGAAATTTGTCAACAGAAAAACTAACGCAAAAAAATCCTGAGCGATGACTCCTTGCTTAAATGACATGCGCAAGTCAGTTTGAGGTTACATTAATCAAAACAAACTTCTATTTACCAAAACGGGTATGTATTAGGCAAATAGTATGTAGTCTGTGGTATTAGCTATGGGTATTAGGTGTTAGGGCTCGGAATCAAACTCGAATATTCAAAAAGCGAATAATTATCGGGGGTAATTGCACAAGTGCTTCAAAATTTCCGATAATTTTGCATGAAAGCTTTTTGTCTAAAAACTGCATGAGTTTATTTTCATATTGTGGCGAAAAAGGAGGGCTTTTTCGTTCCAATGTGAACAGAACATACCCCCAGGGGGGATATTTTGTGAATAGAAGTAGAGACAAGTACTTGTCTCTGATAGAAGTCTGTTTTAATTAACGTAACCTCAAACTGACTTGCTCATGTCATTTAAGCAAGGAGTCAGTTACGATATATGCGTTAGTGTCAGCTAGTGTGGTAAACAAGGTCAAAGATTTACTCGTATTTATCTATGTTCGTATCATCGTACAAATGGATGCTTGGGACGCAGGCTTTACGCCGGTTGAGTCAAATTAGAGAAATTTCTGTGTTCAATTAGAGAAAAGTGTCAACCGGACCGTTTAATCAATGGGAGTCTTTTGCAGCATGAAATCCCAACTTGAATGGTAAGCATAGTAAGAAACTGATAGGTTGTCAGAGAAGCCCCAAAAAGTCATTGATTGCCGTGCCCTATTCATTCCCACTATTGCGTATACGCTTAATACTCACTTCTCCTCATTTGCGTATATACATGAACAATCTACTAAAATAACTGTTGATTATGTTGCCTCATTTCACAGATACACACGTATGGAACACTCTCTACAGCTACATAGATGAAAGTCTTCCCTCTCGTGTGTACAAACTACAAAGTTTGAAAAACGGTGCACAGTTACAACAACCAACTGAATGACAACCATTGTTTTAACGTAACAGGCAGACTCTCAGTAGTGCGTGGTTGTAAAAGTGCTCATATGTGTGTTTTTGTGTTAACAACTCAACATGTCGGGCTGTGGGCAATTTAACAAACTGTTTGAATTCGAAAAGAGCGCCGATTGGAAGTTGCCCGATAATGCGTTCAGTGCGGCCCATTTCGAAATCCCAGAGCTACAAGGGATGAAACGCGAGTTGAATAGTGTAAAAGGGCAACTGAATCAGTTTGATTTACATGATTGGCATTCGCATACGAAAAACCGCTTTTTGGCCGGTTTTGTATTGGGGCGATTAAAGGCAAAAATCAAAGCGGAACTACTCACTCAAGCTTGGTGTAAGTTCTACGAAATACTCAGCAGATTTCCGTCGTTGATTGACAATAGCGTTGAACGCTTTAAAAGTCTTCATCTCTGTGAAGCACCGGGGGCCTTTATCAGTGCTTTGAATCATCGTCTGGCTTCGCATTATCCTACGATTGACTGGCAGTGGCAGGCTAGTACATTAAATCCGTATTACGAAGAAAATTCTTCGTCGGCAATGATTTCTGATGACCAACTAATCAAGCACACCCACTCCCAGTGGCTTTTTGGGGCTGACCAAACAGGCGATCTGCTCCAGTATTACAACCATGTCGATATCGTTAACAAATCCACTTCCAACGGCAAACTTAACTTGATAACCGCCGATGGCAGCATAGATTGCATGAGCGACCCCGGCGAACAAGAGAGATTAGTCGAATTCCTTCATTATTGCGAAACAATCACAGCTCTGGCCAGTTTAGCCCCTGGTGGTTCGTTCGTTTTAAAAATTTTCACCATGTTTGAAAAATCCACCGTCTGCTTATTGTATTTGCTTTGTTGCGTTTTTAAGCAAACCTTCCTGTTTAAACCGGCCACCTCGAAAAGCGGCAACTCCGAACTTTACGTAGTTTGTCTTACGTATACTGAACTTTTACCATCCGCTCCCATATGGGATCAGTTGGTATTGCCTTACAAAAAGGGGGGGTTTAACAAGACCCAAGCGATGTTTTCCTTAAGTGATATCCCAGATAGTTTTCTCCTTCAATTGACTGGCAGTTGTTCAGACTTTTTTCTGCAACTGCAAACTAACATTATCAATGACAACATCTACTATTATCAGAATCCCCTTGAATCGGATCAGCGTAGCTTAAAGCTGGAAAAAATCAACATTGCTCATTATTACATGAGAAGGTATCAGGTGAAACCTATTCCCAAAGGTCGCCGGCTTATTCATCAATCGAATAAGCGGGATTTGGTTGATTTGCAAAGGATTGGCCAAGTTTCGACCAAAGATTTTCCCGATATGTTTGACGCGATCAACATATACATTGGGAAGCGAATCGATGTTGTTCGCAATTCAAAGTTCGCGTCTTTAGACCAAGTACAGAACTTGCGTTATTCTTCAACTAGAAACCAAACCCAGTCCACTTTATACAGTTTAGTGCTGAGTCGAGTGGAACAGACGACGGTGGTAATTAACGCAAGTTCTTTTAACTTGGAGGTTTACTTTGAGTACCAAAGGAGCCTGTTTAACGCTCTTAAAGCGGCTGTAGGTACAGGAAAACATGTTCTTTTATTGAATGTGCCGTTACATACCCATCTTTTGGCAGGTTTGTGGTGGCTTTTGGCCAGTGCGTTTGAAACAGTCTATTTTAAGGGTGGCTGGTGTTTATTTTACAAGAATCTACCGGACAAAGCAAACTCTGTAAAGGACGCGTTTTCCAGAGTAGAAAATATTTACAACACTTTCAGCGCTGATTCTAGTCAAGCATTTACTCCTGATATAATTGGCCTTTTTGATACAAGCATATTTTCGATCGGTTTAAGTTTCATTCCCTCAATATTGAACGTTTATAACACCTTTTCCATCCCGAAGCCCAAGTCTGTTGCAATAAACCAAAGTATATAAATAGGAACTTGGATGATTTATTATACCTGAACTGAACGAACACACACTTTGTCGCCTAAGTGGCTAGTTGAGCTTGGTCTAGAATTGTTCGATTTATCAGCCCCTCATTGTCAATGCGCACATTCTTCCAGCATTCTTCAAAGTTCTTTTTAAAGGCTTCAACCACCTGAGGCGTTGACATGAATACGAAAAACTCATAGTTGTGTAATACGGATGAAACGGAGAAATTCATCGACCCAGTACAAACATAGCCACCTTCATCGCAGTAATCTTTCACCATAAATTTATGATGCATAATCGCCTCTAACTCGGCAGAAGCCGATACGAAAAATTGGCATTCTATACCTGGAAGCGAAAGTGTTTTACCCAATTAGTGTGTGATTTAGAGCGCCCCATTGCAAATCAGGACAGTGTTTTATCTGTATGACTAGAGAATTAATTCGCTTATTTACCTTCATCATTTAGAACTTTGACTTGTTGTTGAATGCAACCTTTATTGGTCGGCAAATTCAGTAAAGCCCGTATCTGAACTCCTCGTCGTTTGGCCTTAACAAGCTCGGAAACCAGACAGTTAACGGTAATATGCATTACACAGACGTCCAGCGAGTGTTGCGCCGTCCTTATAAAGTACAATAGAGGTTGATACAGTTCCTCTACATTATTAGGGCTGCACTTTTTGCTGTCACAATCCAGGGGCCATCCAAAAAAGCCCTTCCTTGGTCGGTACGTAACTACACAGTTGTGTCTTTTGCTGAACAGCAGCTTTTCTTCATAGTCCCGTTTCAATTGTCTGTAATATTTGAATAGATAGATTGGAATGATCAGGAGGGCTCCAGTTATTAAAAGAGATTTTCGGTTAATTTGCGGCATTTTTTGTTGTTTAAATTGTCAGGTTTATAGGTTAAGTGGGTTAAGTGCACAGATCACAGAGGTTACTCTGTGATCTGTGGTTGGGGTATTTGACGTTTTTGTCGAGTGATTTGTCAGAAAAGTTCAGTGAAGTGATTGTTGAGTGTTTTTGCTCTTAAAAAACACTGTAAAGTGAATTCGAAGTAAACTCTGAAAGTTGCACGTTCACGGCGCTATCAGTTTTCCCGTTACAAGGTAGGTTTACGTTTGGGAACTGAAAAAGCGGAATTGGCCGTCGCTCATTTTCTCAGAAAGGTCAATTTGCTTATAATAAGTAAAACACCGTCAATTCCGTACCAAAGCAGCCTTAAAAGTAGAAGGCGCGAATTTTCTCAAGAAAACTGTGCATCTTTGGCATTGCTATGAATATCAAGCTTTGAAGAGCACAACTTGGAAACTAACCACAAAAACGCTGTACCGCTGACATTTTTGTTAGCAAGCGGCTCCAACCCCAAGCCCCAGAAAGCATTTCAAAGTATAATTTTGCCCGTATAATTCACGCATAGAAAATCGTACAACCTACAGAGGCGAAACCTTAAATTTACTTCATAAATCTCAACTTAACAATGCTTATTTAGTTCACTGGCAACTTTTTTGCTTCTGGAGTAATATATACGACTGTTTCGGTACTACCAGTTTCAGTGGCGGTTTCTTCCGCAATGGCTCGGGCATATCTGCTATCGGGGTTTTGCTGTTGAGAACCTTCTCCGGTGGAAGCAGCTTCTTTGGCGGGTTCTTCCTCCGATGAATCTTCACTTGAACGGTGTTCATCACTCTGCCCTGCTGGGTAAGGGACTTTCTGCACCGTACTCTCACTTTCTGGGCTTGAATCTTCTTCACTGGGACAATCGTCTTCTTCGTCTGAAATGTCTCTGGCCGGTCGAGTTTTGTATTGGACGGCAGGAACAGCCGGTTTTGAAGCTTCAGCTTCAGGTTTTTTGGCTTGAGCGTTAATCTTGGCGGAAGTATCTCGGCTAGCTCGGCTCAGAGGAAGGTGAATTAGCACAGCTGGAACGCTTGAATTGGTTGCCTGATTTTCCCCTGTGTTATTTGCTATTCCTGTTCTGTTTAGTGAAACATCCCTTACAGCGCGGCTTTGCTGTGCGTATAAAACAGGCTTGATGGTCGAAGACGCTTTTGCTTGGCTTGGTTCCTCAGGTTCTTGGTTGGGAGCGCTTCGTTTGGATTTTGTTGCGTTAGGGCTCGAAGCATCTAAAAGCGCATCAAGGGCGCTGGCATTAACTTGCGGAGATCCCGGTAGAAGAACTTCTATGTAAGATTCCTCTATTAAAACTCCCCCAGTTGAGTTTTCTTCAGTAGTAGCCTCCTGTAATAAAAAACCCAGTTGCTGTGTGTAAATCAGATTAAACTCAAAGCTACTCACAGTATCACTTGACTCAGAGGTTCCAGTTAATAGAGGGTGCACTCCTAAGTTACTTGAGCTAGTTTGGCTAGCTTCTGATGAGGATTCTGAGCTGTCTCCTAATGGGAGCGCTTCAGATAAGTACAAGAGCGTCACGAGCGCGAGTGTAATTTGTATCTGAAAATCGCAATAAGGACAATACAGGGAAAATTGCAACAGAAAATCGACTTTTTTACCTTGGCCATTGTTAGATAAATAGCAGTGTACTGAAATCGATCAGGCGATGGGCTCTTTTATATGAAACGCTCGAAAACATGTTTAGGTTTTTAATTAACAGATGAATAATCGCCCATGTACTAATCATTTGCTGTGGTTGTTATCAGAATTCGCTCGTTAAAATTTCCGCTTTTAATGCAAAAATTATTAGTTGTAATTATCAGGTGCAGGACGCATTTATAGTCTTTTCGCGTTCATTTTTGAGCTTGGGCAAAATGAAAATGTTTTGAAAATTTCGCGCTTTGCCTTGATGTGGTTGAAATGATTCGGTTAGTGAGTCATAATAATCTAACTTGACCTTAGCAAATATCCAACCACTCAAGACAAATTAGCGATCTATACATAATAGAAGGATACATTTATATCATCAACCGGACTAAATGGGTGCTAAATTTTGCTCGCTATTAGTGAATAATGAAATAATTTGCGTTCAATGATACATTTTGTATTAGGAAGGTTGTCTCAAAACGCGGGTTTTTAAATTGAGAAATTTTAATTATAAAAAAAATAAATTATGTACCTAATAATGTTTGAAAGCAAAAAATTATATCCGTTTTTTGCCCCGATTGTCCTCCAATAAAAGTACATAAATTAATAATAATACAATTTAATCGGTCATATTCAAATTGTGAGGCGCTTATATTGGTTGAAAATAGCGGCACGCGTGACGCTGTCTGTTCTAGTCACTAGTCAAATAATTGTCAAACCGCACATAACCTCAATCATTGCTACCCCAAAACTCCAAAGTAAACATTCATTCAATCAGAAAAGTGACTCTTTCTATTGAAAGTGCTGTTCCCCAACATGAACATCAGACTGGATGTCTATCCAAAGAGTTGGAAGGATGCGTGCGTTACCGCCTTTTTGCTAGTGATAATTCCAGTGATTTACTACTTCGAGCTCTATGTCGTTTTGCCCACTTTTTATCCACCTTGGGGCCTGGCCTATCTTTTCCATTTCGCCGTGGGACACTTCATTCTGTTCAATTTGTGCTCGAATTTGCTGGCAATTGTTCTAATCGATACGAGCATCGCAGGTAAAATGCTGCCTACTGATGGGGTGAACTGGCATTTTTGCTCGGTCTGCGAAACGTTTGTGCCCGCAAGATCGTATCACTGCCCCACTTGCAACGTTTGCATCTTGAAGCGGGATCATCATTGCATGTTCACCAGCTGCTGTATTGGACATTACAATCACAGGTTTTTCTTGGTGTTTGTTCTTTATGTCTTTATCGCCATTCTTTATTCGACAGTTTATAATGTACAGTATATTTATCAATTTATCACGTTCGACTCCTACTTGTCCCTGCTGAAGATAGTGTTTCCTTTAACCATGCTGTTTGTTAAGTGGACTTCGTATCAGCTTCAGCTTTCTTTAGTGATTGTAGGTATTTTAGGCTGTTTGTTTACTGGAGTGCTACTCTACTATCACCTAAATTTGATACTTAACGGTTTTACAACGCATGAGAGAGGTAGGCAAGTTAGCGTTTATGATCAGGGAAAGATGAACAATTTGAAAATCGCCTTAGGAAATAGATGGTACTTAGTTTGGATAAGTCCTTGTATAGACAGTGTATTGCCATGTGATGGTGCAGTGTGGACAACTAACTTATCAACCAAAGGCAAATAAATTGTGCAATAAACCAATCAAGCGACTTAAACATTTATATTTAATCCGTTAACAATTTAGGGTTTAGTTGTAGGTACCAAAGTATAACAAGAAAATAGACTGATTCTCGTTTCACATATGTAAAATGGCACTGGGTAACACAATTTTTACAGATTAATTGAGTTTCATGAAACCACTTTGCTTGCACAGTTTCATTCTAAGGGTTTAATGGAAAATCGCATTTCAAAAATTACATTAATTATCTAGTACTAGAAAACGACTTCTTCATTTCCATTACTCCTAGCTGGTTGAGATCGTATTTGTAAAACTTGGATTAGACTGGCTTTTTCGCGCTCCAATGCTGCTATCTTGTCGCTTTTCTTCGATATTTCCTGCAATTTATCGTGTTTTAACAGTGAAGAAGAAGCAAGAAATGTGTCATCAAATAAAAATCTGAAATTGCCGGGTTTTAAAACTTGTCAACATTTCGAGTGACTTTTTGCTGAAAATGTGTTTAGAAGTCAAACCGAAAACCAATGGGTTTTTCGCGTTTTTAGGCCGTCGTTCGGTAGAATTTCTTCCTGACGTTCGCAAGCACGAGTGGCTTGCATCTTCAGAAGTGGTTTGCTTGAACGCTTACACTGCTCCGATAGGAAGAAATTCTACCGAACGACTGCCTAAACTATTAAAAAACTGAACAACTTTTGGTGAGAGGATTTGATTTGAAGAAAAAATGAAATGTGAAAATCACGCAAAATGTTGCAACTGACTCAATATTACAAGGGAGAATATTCCCCAATAATGCTGAAGAAAATAAGCTACTTAGAATCAGGGGATTAGCTGAAAAGAATGCGCGAAGTGAAGAATAATGACGGAATGGTGAATGATGGATCAACGAAAAAAAAACGATTGGGAGTTGGTTTACAACGAGTGAGAACACTTGCGGTGCAAAAAAAACGGTCCGTTCGAAAGTCAATTGATTATATAAAAGTGAAAGAACACCTTAAACCCATTACTGACAGTATGGCGAAGGAACAATTTAAATTGATTTGTTACCTCATTGAGCATTCGATTTTGCTGCTTCAACCTGTCGGTTAAATCCTGCGGAGGTGGATAATGATGGACGGCTAAGTTCATGTGAAGCGGCAAACCGCCTCGTTCCCAACTTTCGGTGAGAGCAGCCAAGTGCCTGTTCACTTCCAGTACTCGGGCCCTTTGGAGTTCTAGGCGTTCTTGTTGCGCTTCAGACCAAGTTTCCTTGAACAAACTCAATAACTGTTCACAGCTGAATGGGATTTGTGCTAAGTTTTGCAATATTGCATGCGCGTAAAATGTTAGTTATGCCCCTAGTTTGCCTGTCGGATTGTTGATAGAATTCTTCAAAGATCAGTCATGTTCCACGGTGAAAACCGACTATTACCTACTGACCCAGATATTTGTCGAATGAAACCAGTATTTTACTAGAATTGTGTGTGTTCTCGCTGCTCATTCGCTATTCACCGCGATGGTGACCCCTGATATTTATTTGCCTTCTACCGCGATATCTTCATTCTAACAACAATGGAATATGGGCAGTTATTCCAGTCATGTTATTGTGCGAAGCTCCGTTGCATTACGGTTACCGATTACTTAATGCACTGGTTCGCACGATATTTTTTTTAATTTATGGCGATTTTGTGTTTAATCAAGTTACGCTCGCTGGTTTTGAAGATCAGAGCGAGCCGGAAATCCGGTTATTTGCTGTGTGCGACCACTTTTTAGCTTACCAGATGGCCCATTCTTCCCAGATACTTCATTTTTTCCTGGACGCCCGCCACTTGCTTCAAGTACCAATCGCGAGCTTTTTCCACTGCACTCAGTCCGGTCATTAGAACCTGAAATATCGGCGTTTTGAAAAAATCTCCCACTTTGAACTTTGAAGATTTGCCTCTTTTTCCTGCTCAATTTGCTTCATTTTCTTCAGCATGTTGTAGTCAATGCCGTTTTGCAACGTGTGCCTTCGGGGCTCGCGCCGTTTGGCGTTGGGCTTTTTCTGGTAAATTCCCTGTATCGGCAAAGGGCCCTGAAGTGGCGCCTCCAGGGGTACTGCCGCTTTGCCATCCCCTAAGCTTCGACTGGGGCGAAGCAAGCCTGTATACCCCTGAAAATTGCGAGTTTATTTCAATGGAAAAAACCCGCCCATCAAACGAACCTGTTGCGTGCTTCCATTGGGTATTCTTTTGCTCTCCTTGGTCGTTTGGTCCTGGTTAGTCAGCAACCCCATCTGCCAATTGGCTAAAGCCGTTCGTATCTCCGCCCTGTCGATGTTCCCGCCGCAATTTCCATTGGAGCGTTCCATGCCAATGGCTGTTCGTGGAGGCTTCGGAGGGCCATAGAGTGGGGGTTTGCCTGGGAAGAAATATTTCATCCACTTGGGCGGCAAAGTGGGGAATTAATGTTCACCTGGCATGGTGGGCAGTTTTTCAAACCCCTGCCCGTTCTGAGTTGCCGGGTCTTTCAGCTGGGGCATGCTGAGCGTTCTTTGAACGTTCTGCTGAGGAATCACGTTATTAGGCCGAATGGCTGCCGTGTTATTTGCGCCCCATGAGTGTTTGGGGGCTTGACTGTTGTCCACCAGGTCCAAAAGGGGGGCCGAAGGCGGCCGATTTGTCACATGGGGCGTCTGCAAGTTTGGAATGGTTTTTCCGGTTTGGGGGCTGTTTGCGCACTATACCTTATCGGGGACTTTTCCCTGGCTGGCATCTGGCCGTCTTTCCACTTGGTTTCTGAGCAGGCAAATTTTCAGACCGGCACAGAATCGCTCGAAACTTAGCATGCCGTTGGGCGGAGTCACTTTTCGTAAACTCTCTAAAACTCCCTTCGGTAAACCTTTGGAATCGTCATCTTGCCATCGGGCTTCTGCAAGTTTAGGCGAATTTGAGGAAACTGGATGGAAAATGCGATTTTTTATGGATGGAACTAGAGAGTGCGTTATCGTTAGGTTTACTTTGATGACTATGATCCTTGAAATAACATAATGCTCACTGATTAGATGTGGGGAGTTAAAATATTATATAGTTCTAGTCATATCAGCGTAGTACAAACCTATATCGACGAAATTGACAAAGCCAGTTTGCTTGTCGTCCATGATATCGAATAAGGTACGCATCGCGATCACAAATTGCTTCGGCAGACTGTCCAAAGTCGAAGAAGTTGAGGTCATTTCTGAAGTTCACACCTGAAAAGCCTCAGAATTTATCTTCCCAGCTAGTTTAAGCTTGGATTTTTCGGTGAAACCGAGTATTTTACTAGTAGTGAATGCACAAAAAGTTTGCACAAAACTGTAGAACAATGACGAGCTTTAAAAGAATGTGTAGTGATTCATGTAAAATGGCACTCTCTTGAGCTTAAGCCGTTGAATACAGGCTTTGTTAAGTCTTGGTCATGGTCTTTTTGTCCGTCGACTTTGATTTTTTAAGCCGTGATCTCCACAAATAGTGATAATTCGCCAGCAACCATGAGCAAGCCGGTGTTGTTCGATAAACCGCAAAATCCCAGCAAAAACTGTTTTTTTTTAGAATCAGTTTTATTGCCAAATTGGCCCTATATGGAAAAACCCACGTACAGCCTGTTCGTTGCATTCAAAGCCAATATCAAACTGAAAGCACTTTCTAACTGCAAACCTCTTTTAGTAGTTGTTTTGCCATTGCACTTACGTTGTAGTTCTACAGCTCACTTTATCCATAAAATCTGGTTCTCAATCCACCTTTGCAGGTCCACAAATCGCACAAAACTTTCACCAAAAATGTTGAACGCACGCGAAATTAATCCGGGTTTTTTCGGCAGTTTATTCCTAGTTTCTGCCCTTTACACTGCGCTCAGTCGGTTGAAATGTGTCGCGAATTTTCGAAAACAAAACGGCCAAAACAACAGTTTTCGTGTTGTGCGAGGTTCGTTAACCGAAGAATCATGATTCCGCTGTGACTGCGGCCGCTCACCGTTTGGTTCTTCGGCGGTACTCTCGCCTTCTTAGATCAGCCAAAGCGTTTCAGATTGAATCAGGTACCAGCTAAGGTACCACAGGGCAGGTGTAGTCAATTTTTGATTAAAAATGCATTTTATTTATCACTAAAAGCGGTGATGGGGATGCAACAAACCACTTGCGTTTGCAAAACGTCCTGTTTTCGACGACGGGTTAAAGCGCGAAAACTGCTGGAAACTGGTGAGTTTTTCGGGCTTTTCGGCTCGTGTTTTTAAGTTGCAAAATTGCGAGGAACTCACTAGTTTCAACGATTTT